CAAAAGCCTAACACAGAAAAGATGACAAGTGACCCAGAACCTTCAGGAATGAGGGTATGCATTAGCCTACCAGGTAAAGAACCAAGACCTGCTGAAGTACTTGCTTAAGGCCATGAGAATACAGAATGGTTAATAGAAGCCAATTATAAATACTAGCTATGACCCTGTGACCAGTTACAGAACTTTTATCATGTGTATTTGTTATACACATTAACCAGGTTATCTTTTTCTTTGTAATGTAACACTGATTAATTGGGTACTTAAGTATTGTTAAATCATATTATAGTATTTAAATTATAAAATGTCAGAAGAGTAGGCATCACTCAAAGAAAAACTTCTGCTTTCTATTCCATTTCTATGCATTTGTTTCCACGAAAGATGTTATATCATATTGGGTGTAATTATAAACTTGCTATTGTATTTGGTTTGAGGTTGTCAAGCTGACAAGTGTAGACAGTGATTGTTAATCATATGTCAATTTGAATGCCTTAAGAAACACCTAGCACATTAGTAAAGTACAGTTCTGGCTGTGTCTCTGAATGATTGACAGGCCAGGAAGGTGAGGGGGAAGACCCACCCCAAATGTAGGTGATATCAACCAACAGGCTGGTGGCCTGGATGGGATAAGAAAGGAAGAAAAGAGAATGTACCCATTTCTGAAGAGCTCATCTTTGCCATCACCTTTGGGCACTGGTCTTCCAGCTTCTCCAGCCTTCCAACAGACTCACACCAGAGCTCTGCAGGGAGCTTCCAGGCTTTCTACCTTGGACTAGTGCTGCAGCCTTGATTTCTCTTGTTCCACTTCTATCTTCTTGGTCTAAGCAGCTGTTGGATCCTCCAACTCTCTGATCCAGCAAGCCTACCTAATAAATTCCATTGTATAACTTGCACATGTATTTTCCATTGATTCTGTTCCTCTAGAGAACTCTATAATATAAACTGTCCCTGTGATATGAAGCTGCTGCAGCACAGTACTGGTGTTATATGGGCCCACATTTGGTTGAGGGGCAGCTCTCACTGTTAAATAAAGCTGCAGGCTAACACCCCCAACATTTCCAGAAGCACATGCCCAAAGGTGGCATACTCACCCCCATTTGCATTGGCCAAAGCATGCCACACATGCTGGATGGGGCAGAGACATCTGTTCCTCCAGTAAATGAGTTCTCACAGGGAGGAGGGAGTGGGAATAATCAGCCACAGTAATGCAATCTGCTCAGTAAATATTTCATCAAATGAATGATGATAACAAATGAGTGAAATGCCTATATTCTACCTGCTAGAAAGAGTGAATACTTTCTCTATGTCCAAAACAACTGCTAAGTAGAGAAATGATTTAGCAACAAAAAGTATATACAACCAAATGACATTTTTATGAACCAGCAATTTACATTTGATTTACACCACAGACTTTATTCATTGGTACTGTGTAAGCTACTTGCATTGAAAGCTCAAGACAGTGGACAATCATAGTCTGTCACTTTCGGTGTTTACCCTGGTGCTGCTTCTTCCAGAGCTCAGTCTGTACCCCCAGAGCCTGTGCTCTGAGCCAGAGCCCCATGCTAGCTCTCAGCCTGGAAGGTGAACCCTACCTCCAAACCAAGGATGAGTGTCTTCTCCATGTCTTTCTTCCAGCAGGACACAGGCCCCTGAAAGAGCCCCACAGATAACTCTAAGTAGCCGGACAGAAGAAGCTTCAGTGGCCTAGAGCAGAAGTCTCCCCTCCCTTTTAAATCCACAATAGACTATGTCTTGAACAATAAATAAATCTTTTTGACATTCAGCTTCTAAGATTTGGGGTCTTGGTATGATCCTGAAGGTGCAGGCAGATATAAGAGCTGTTGAGCTGTACTGCAGAGTACCTCCGGTTACCTACTAGTTCCACACCACCTTCAAGAGTCCCCACACTGAGAGGGTAGCTTTTATACAAAATCCTTCATTCTCACAATTGTTAACAATAGCAAAGGTCAAACAGCATCTGGATAAATTATGGGGCAAATAAGTTTTTTTGTGTTGATGGGGAAATATACTGATGTCTTAAGTATAAATAGTAAGGTGGAGGACAGTATAAATCAGCTGCCCAAAATATGACCCCAAAGCCTGAGACTGCCCAAGACCCCTGCGGCGGGGGGGGGGGGGGGTTGTCCATTAGGCCCATGCTTTCCAACTACACACTATGAGGGACCATATTTTCATCGCATACTCCAACCAAAAGACAAAGCATAGTAGATCACATGCAGTTAAGAATTCTAGCTGCCTCCTACTAAGCCAGACATAAAACATTTTTTTATTTGTTTGAAAACAAACCTAGGGCTCACTGATTTTGTTCGGCAAAATATTTTCTTATAAATTCTAAAGCATTAAATTTCTCAATTTTATGTTCTAGTATGACATATATTAAGTGCAACTCACATTTTAAAAACTCTTCAGAGCCTCAAAACTTTAATAATGTAAAATAGTCCCGAGACCAAAATTTGAGTATATTGGTGTTTACAGCATATTAACTTTGTGTGAAAAGGGGGAAAAATAGATATACCCTTGCACTAGTTCATATATACATAAGATGTAAAACAGATCAGTATTAGTAGAGCTGGGCAGACAGAAGTCCTTTTACTGAAGGCACATTCTTTTTCTACTCTTAAAAGTTTGAGCTACATATAATCAATTCCAAAAATTAAAAAACAAACCAACCACTCCGAAGATCCAGATGTAGCAAGAGATGGGAAAATCTTCAGCCCGACAGAAGATGGGAAAATCAGGCTGGGAAGCCTGTGTGTGAACTGCAACCTCTGTCCTACAACCAGAAGTAAGGGTCTCCAGAGATAAATCTGAGAGGGTCCTTTACTGAAGCAGGAAAACCAAGAGACCTAGCACAGGACTCTAACATGAAAATCACCACTCAATCACAGTCCACTGTATACGAGACAAGCAGGAAAGCTACCCAGAAGAAACAGAAGTAGTACAGAAACTAAAGGACAGTTGTTCCTTTTCTAGGTATCTTCCCAAAAAAAGATATGACGCATGCATTCCCAGGTTTATAACACAATTCATAATAGCTAAATCTTGAAAGTTATCACAGATGGATAAAGAAAATGTGATTTTTACACACAATGGAGCATTACTCTGGCATAAAGTTGAGTCATTTGTAGGAAAATGGATGCACCTTGAGATTGTGTTAAGAGAAACAAATCAGACACACAAGTTTAAATATCACATGGTTTCTCTAACATGAGAAACTCAAAGTATAAATAAAGACGAAAGTAAACGATAAGATGATATGAAGTAGGGAGGTAGATCTTTCTAAAAAGGGATTGAAAGATGGAGGAAGGGAAGAGGTAAGGGAAGGAAAAGGGATGGAAAAGGAATTAAGATATGTTATAGACATGTACCAACTCCATGCAAGGAATGTAAACATTATGTATTATAAACATTTACCCAAAACAAAGGAGGAACCGAAGAGATGGATGGAGGCAGAAGGGAGGGAAGGAAAAGGGATGAAAAAGAAATTAAGATATATGATGTTCATGTACCAAATCCTTATAAGGAATGTAAACATGTACTATACACATGTACTAATAAAAAAAATTAAGACAGATGCACCTTGTATATAGCACTTGATATGTCAGAAGCCTCTCAATAAAAAAAAAGGAACTAAAGGAAATTCAAAGTATTTTTAAAAACCACAAGGTCATATACCCAAAGGTATTAGAGAAGTTACTGGGAACATACCACCAAGTTGATCTGGTAGAGTAATAGTTTTCAAATAGCCACTCAATTGTTCTTGTGCAAATCCACTCATACCCCCGTGGGAAAAAAAACATGTTTTAGCATCAGACACAGATGCAAGCTTCTACCCGCATGCTCTTGAGTTAATCATTTAATCTCTGACTATCAATTCATGGAATAGAACTTGAATAATACCCTTTACAAAGTGACCAAGAATTTAATGGGTTATTTTTTTCCTATGTGACAGTACAGTCCCCAGCACTTAGTAGGTCTTGAACAAATGACATTCTTATTGCCCATGACAGCAGAAAGAGTTGGTGCATTGTTACAAAATGTTTTAAAAACAACAGAAATCACAATGAAGCATACTTTAAGGTTAATAATCATTTAGTCTTACCGTTTTCACTTATAAAAATACAACTTTGCATATACAGGGTAAAATAGATTCTGCAAACACAATACTAGAGAAATGGAAGCAATCACAAAAAAGATCAACTGGGGAGAAAAACAGAATGTATTCTGCCTTCTGCCCATATAAACTGGAAGTAAAAGCAAAGATTACACAGGATCAAAATCATTTTGTCTCAACTGCAGGAACTTCTTCCAGATGGCTAGCCTGGGTCATGAATAGCCAAAAACAGACAAGGTCTGTCTGTTTTCACAAATGATGATTTGAGACCTGAACAACAGGTCTCCCTCTTTCCTATCCAAGGAACTGAAGTTAACTTAAAGAACAATCAGATCCAAAGTACAATGTCAAAGCCCATTTTCTTCCACACATGAATAATTATCTATTTAAAATTACAAATGACGGGCCTGGGATTTAGCTCAGTGGTACTTTGCCTGCCTTGCAAGTGCAAGGTCCAAAATTCAATACCCAGTACCCACCCACCCCCCCAAAGAAAAGTGTGTCATCTACAGAAGTTGGGCTCAAAAAAATGAAAGATCTGAACTCATCTTCATACCCAATATGCATCCATATTGAGAATCAAGTCACTAGTGACAGAATTTCCAGGTTCAACTACTGGGAACGGCCAGAGATTGGGGATGGGGACACAGATAAGTGCCCAAGCTTTGATCCACACCTTGCCCCCTCAGTCCAAGACACTCTCAGATACAGTGAGACCTTTTGCTTCCAGAGCATTTCAATGGCATTACACAATACTCTGGTTCTAGGAATTCAATTACCCAGTAGCTTCAAGTTCAAAATGCAACATTAAAAACTGACTTTACCATTTTATAAGTAAAGCATATGGCTTTAATAATGACTTTCTTCATTTTATTTTCTAATTTTTATTTTTATTAGTACATGTTTGCAATACACAATGACATACATCATGAAGAGTTGGTACACGTACCTAACAAGATGAACAAAAGCCATTCTTATGACATAGGATATAAAATCAACATTACATATTGAAGCAACACTTTAAACTATCAACATCATGTTGCCAGATTTCACATTTACCCACATGTACACTTTTCAGCTGGAAAAGGACATTCGCATGTCAATAAGTCCCCTAGGAGTGGCTAGAAAAATAGGCTGTGGGCACTATTAAATCTACTTGGCATCTGGATTCATACGTGATCTATTCATCAAGTCATGGAGCCAGGTGAGCAGTGCAACAATAGAGCATGTATGTAACCCAGGCACAATCACAACAGTTTATGCTTCCTGGAGTGTATGTTAGAGAAAATGGGGCAACTAGGGGGGCGGGGCTTAATGGTGCTAACTAGCCTTTGCAAAAATACATTGTTTAAAGCATGCAGGACAGAAAACTGCAATCAATAATCAGCTTTAAAACACAAAATAACAAATATTTGAAATTCATATTTCATAATATAGGAAATGTGAGTATTTGTCAGAAATGTAAGACTGTGGGTTTTCCAGAGCTTCACACATTTAGGGACCCAAAATAAAATGTTTTAAGCTTCTCTATAATGGATGGGTCAGGAATAAAAACAAGGCTGAGGTCCCAGCCAGGCTAAGTGGTATCTTCATCTTCTAGGCTCCATTTCTCACCTGTTAGCCAAGTCTACCCCAGCCCCGGTCCATCCCAGTGCTTGGTGAATAGCCACCATGTCCTACTTCTGCTGGGACAGGCCTTCCAGGGGCAGAAAACAAGTGTTCCCTATGCTGTGCGGTCCCCAGAGGGCCTGAGGCAGGAACATCCCTACTATGGCTCTCTCTCTGTTTTCCTCATTATTCTTTTATATTACCTTCTCAACAAGTAGAAAAATAGGATATAAGTACATTTAGCCAGCAATAAATATACCTAAATCAGACACTAAAAATACATCTCTCAATAATGCAAATCAACCTCCATATACGTATTATTCTGCCTTCTTTGACTTTTTTCAAATCAATTAGTAATTTGAGATGTTTTCCAAATATCATTACGAAAAACAAGAATAACACAACAAGAAGCAGCTCTAGAATTAGGCAGGTTTTAGAAGCAACATTTTTAAAGGGTGGGAGAGTGGTATGGTCCATCACCTTGAGCAGTCTGCATCACCAGAGGGCAGGTTGTGGGGTTCTTGTACTATTGCCTTGGGAAAGCCACCTGGCAGCTCCCGAGCCCACCACTCCTCTTTTTTTTTTTTTTTTGGTACTCGAGATTGAACTCAGGACCTTGTGCTTTGAGGCACGCACCGGAACCACTGAGCTAAATCCCCGGCCCACTACTCCTAAAGTGCCATGCAGCGAGTTCTGGCCTAAAGTTTCAAAGTCTGAGGTTAAACCAAAAGAAGCTCCTGTCTGTCTTACCACAATCACTCACTCATTAATCACTGTATTATTTGCATAACAAGAAAATAAATTATCCCTTAAGCACTACACCTAACTAAGAAGAAAATGTCTCTCCACAAAGTCTGGGAATAAGCCTGTGACCCCAGGGAGTCCATGTTATAGCTAAACAACACAGTTTAAGCCCTACTGTGGTATTTGCATGTATTAGTAACAATTATCAAGTCACTACTTTCAAAAGAACTATTGAAACTATTATTAAAAACATCTGTCACAAACAGAAATGCCTTTCAAATCATATTATTGCACACAGGGTTATCAGAAGCTATGAATATAAGAGATCTTAAGGACTCTAGAAGACCCAGAACAGAGACCCTAGGGCCATGCCGGTTGCCGCTCCAGCCAGCATGCCTAGGGCCAGGTCACTGTCACTGTCTCTATACCGCTCACGAATGATTACTTGGTTGGGAGGCTGCTGTCCATAGAGTCCTAAAAAAAAAAGAAAAAGAACTTTGAGGAGCAGTTTGTTAAGTCCAATATTCACTCAAAATGACCACAACCTCAGGTATAATCACCATGTCTCCTCTCCATGGGACCAGCAGCCAGCCCTTTTCTCTCTCACTTGGCATAGCACCTTCCTCAGGGGAAGGGGGAGCAAGGAGTTTGGCCCAGCCCTCCCCTACCATAGGCCCAGCATGTAGCTTGAAAGGAGGATACCTCCATGGCCAAGGGTGCACCGAGAAAAATCAAGATTATTGGCTGGCCAGGGTTAAAGTCCACAATACTACCAAAATGAAGCCCTAGGGAAGCAACAGATTTTGCCTGTAGTTTCCACTTCAGCTCTCCACACCATGTTTATTGGGATCACAGATAAATGAAAAGAGTGTGGGAAACATGCAGCCTGCAAACAATGGGAGAGCCAAAAACTCCCATAGCAAGCCCATTTAAAAGTGAATTCACACACACACTACACACTCATGCACACAAAGTGAATCCACTTCTTAGTATTCATGCAAACCAATTTTTAAATTAAACCTTAAATCTGTTAACACAACTTGATCTTCATTTTTAATCACATGTATTTATGTAATTAAAAGGTGAGAAAAATATTTGTTAGAAGTGAACATTTCTTAAAAAGCAAATCTTAAAACAAATTTAATATTTAATTTGCATGATTAAAATTTACAAACAAATACATTATTTGTTTTCTTCGATGCTTCACAGCTATACTACTGCTTAGTAACTACTAAACTTTGAAATTGCTCACGTATTAGTAAACTTTCCTCCTTCATTCCATTTCTTTCAACCCCAGGAGAGTTGAAAACTAGTCCATTAGTATCATATACACGTAGATAAAGAACAGAAGGGAGGCCAGCAGGATAACAAAGGCTGGCACTTCTGAGTGCTTACCGGCCTAAGCGCTTAAAACATTATAGGCACTTATGTGTGCTGATTTAATACTCAGTGACCTATGAGTTGGGCACATTCTCATCCCCAGTAGACAGATAGGCAAACTGAAGCTCACCAGGGTTAAGGGTAGTAAAGGCATGCAAACCCAGGCACTCTGACTACAGTCTGCACTCGTAACATTCAAACATAACACAAAGGATGATAAGAGAGAGAAAACCAAGCTACAGAGCAGTAAAATGAGACTATCATAAGTCTAAGGGCAGCAAGATTAGAAGTAAATGACTTTATGCAAAGTTTAAATTTCAAATCTGGTGAACAGTGGCATTTACTCTTACAGCTTTGAAATTTTAAAATCTTTAATTATGCAACTGTACCTAGCAAAATGTAATACAGTAGAACTCATAAGCAAACTCAATAAAAAGATCCCTTGGAAAATCTAAGCTGTGTTCCCCGGTAGGTCACACTGAGGATCCCCTTCCCACAGGACCTGAAAGCCACTCTTACAGGGTCTGCTGATCTCTGTTTCTCCAGCGAGCTCTTCCAGCTAATTTAACAAAGCCAGCTACAAAGAGTTCCAAGCCATACTTAATAGAATTTCCTAAGTATTAATAAATGGTCAAAAAGCAAATGAAAAGAAGGTAGATATCGCTTCCATAATAACTGAGCTAGATATTTTAAGCTACACTAAATAAAGGCAGGTCACTTTTACAAATTACTATCAAACTGAGAAAATTCTAAGAGATGGGGAAAAAAGGCTATAAACACAAACTCTAGAAGTGCATCTTTGGACTTGCCCCTAGAAACTGAAGCACAGTAATAATATTGTGAATATAGTCTCTACCAGATAAAAATGAAGACTTCCACCTACGGAGCCAACTCAAAGCAAAGATCTGAATCCCACATTCAAAGAACAACTGAAGCCAGATGTAGTGGCACACGACTATAATCCCAGCACTCAAGTGACTGAGGCAGGAAGATCACCTCAAGCTTGAAACCATCTTGGGCTACATAGTGAGTTCAAGGCCAGCCTGAACTACACAGCAAGATCCTGTCTCAAAAAGTAAAACAAAACAACAAAAAGACAGCTAAATCAATGCCCACATGGATCAACCAAAGAAGGACATTTACAGTGTGTATTCAGTAGTCTCTATACTTTTTCAATTGGATGACTGGCCTCTGGTCCCAATCACACTAACTAGAAGGCTATTTTTAATTAGCTCTGTATATAATAACTAGGAGGTTCTGTATGGACTAGCTATCATCAAGGAGATGCTCAAAGGCAAGAGGGCAGGGAGTTGGGTGTCTCAGAAAGGCTGAGAAGAGCACTACTGCCAACACAGTGCTACTGTGGGATCCATTTGGTCCTTCCACAGCAAGCAGGTCTGCTGGCAGGTAGGTCACCACACTGAGGTTGGACAATCACCAACTTGGCCCTTAAAGTTATCTGCTGATTGAATGATCACAATGCCCTTGTGTGGCAAGTATTCCAAAGTGCTGCTTATGAGGGTGCCATCTCTTCTTATCAGGCAAAGTGGAAGGCAAGAGTAGAATTTGATTTCCAAAAATTCCCTTTACAACTTCTTTTGCTTCTGCAAGTCTTTTGCTCTTTTACATAGGAAGAAAACATCTGTGATCATTGTATTCTGTGAACTAGGGACTGAATAGGAGCCAATTCTTCTATGGTAAAAATAGGACTTAAAAACCTACCAGCATCACCAAGACACCAAAAGATAAACAAAGGAATAAAATTCATAAAAAGGGAAACATACTAGTTAACAATTATAAAGACAATGTTCACATTTTTCAGTCATCATAAAAATGTAATTAAAGCAACTCCATGGTTCTACTTTAGATCTACTGAAGTTATCAAAACTTTTAGAACCTAACAATTCTCTATCTCTACAGGACCACAGAGAAATCAGCACATCATTAACTGCTAGCAGTTTTATAAATTAGTAAACTATTCTCAGAATCAATTTGGTAAAATGTTCTCAAGACAATGTAATATTAACACATAAAATGATATAAAGTTTGGAATTCCCCTCAAAATAATTCAGAGGTAGGGAGAGGAGGTGGAGGTGGAGATGAAAGAAAATTAGCCTTTATGTGGTAAGTGCTGAAGCTAGTGATGGGCACCTGAATGTGCATTAAATCATCATCCCACTCTGTGTACTTGAAAATCTGTAACTGTTGGTCTCAAAAAACCCCCCAAAATATCTATACCCTTCAACATATTAATTTAATATTTAAAAATGTGTTCTAAGACATATTTAACAGAATAAAAATGAAAATAACTGAAGGATTCAAAACATTATCTACAAGAGCAAAAAAAGAAAAAAGCTGTCAATATTAGGTTTAATAATATATCACACAATATAACAATCACTAAAAATATTTAAGAATATTATATAGCACTCTAAAGAGCATATAAAATTGGAAATTCAGAATAGAAATACAAAAGCGAATGTACAGTTATAAGGATAAAATACTTATATGAGGAAAGTAAGTCAAATAAAAACAACCACATAGGATTACAGGGTGGGGGACAGACATCCAATGCCATAATTATATTTTACTGGTTTTCAATGTTACATAAAAAGTCAAGCAAGGCTGAATCTTCCAAAGTTCCTACTAGTTGGGTGAATTAGCAGAGCTTCTAGGCAAAGAATGGTACTAGTTTTCACTATTTCTACTCAAGAAACTGTCTCTTATACTAGATGCTAAATACATCAAAAACCGAAGTAATTGCCAGTCACTACAATGACTAAAAGTCACCTGGGGCCTATATGGCCTCCTCACGCCACTGTCAGTGTTCACATCCTTTTCCCACTGCTTCTATGTTAAGACAATGCACTTGTTTTGCTTTCAGCCCGTGGACAGCTCCTCCTCCTGCAAATCTCCACTCTCCTGAGCCCTGAGTTCCACTTCCTCCACCACCACTCCTGGGCGCTGGGGTAACACACACTCTGTGATCTGCCCTGCCTGGCCTCAGGATGGATGCCTTGCTCTTCTGTCCCCTGAACCCCCATGCTGTGTCCAGTGTGGGCCCCACATAACCTCCCCCTGCAGACTGCCTTCCCCAGAAGACCAGGACTGGTAATTCCCACACAGACCCAGCTGTCCAACTTTATAGTTTGTTTCCTGTGAAGCAAAAAATGGAAAGCAATATATCCAAAGCCCGGACTCAAGAGCAGCCCCGCCAGGCCTCTATTTCCTGTGAAAGAGAACATTCTGTCAGTAGCCACCACTGTCCAAGCTGACACCAGAAAAAGAAATAGGTGAAAGTCATCTCTCATCCCTGAGAACTGCCCTCTACTTCTAGTTGCTTCCTAATAGAGGTTAAAGTCCAGAAGTACAAACCGTCTTCTTGGGGACTAATCTGCACCCAATAGTTAGATTAAGTTCTAAAACTCAAGACCACTGCAGCTTTGCAAAGCACTGTGAAAATACAAAAAGGCTTTTAAAAAACTTAAAATCACAGTAGCAGAGACCTAACATAAAATACAGTTCACTTAGCCTTAAACTGAGAAATAAAAACTCTCACATGAAGAGAAACAGGGTGTGGAAGGCTGGTGTGATTACCTGCATACGGGTACTGGTATGGCACCGCATACGCCTGCCCATTCGCAGCATAGACAACCTGAGTTCCTGCTGGGTATGCATCACCGTAGGGACCATAGCCATATACCTGCTGAAAAGAAACAGGCCCATTAGAAATGCAATCTTGAAACCCCTGTTAACATTAAAATTGGTTGCAGTCAATAAAACTTACGTCACTAAAAAGAACATGAGACAATGTGGTTATGCCTTTTTTAAAGACTACTAAAGAATAAAAGTTAAAGGTACTCTCCCTCTCAGTTTTGGTGGGCTGGTTGAAGATGAAACCTACTGAGGACATAAGACCTAAGTCTTTAGCACTTTGTATGCCAGCCTGGAAGTGTTCCTGGGAAAGCCTCCATAACTCTGTAGACTCCTTAAAAGCTACAAGTGGCCTTGGATTTGGAGATTACCAGGAAGAAAGGTTAAAGGCTGAGATGACTATAAAGGCAGAGATGATGCTAGGTAGCTGTTGGATGGTGTAGTTCAACTTGATTCATCTGATACCAGAGAAGAGACCAGAACCAGATCAAAGTTTCATGTTTCTAGTCTGGACTTGTTCAGTGCTGCAAATCCAGAATAAACAATAGATGATGGCTGCATTTTTCCTTTATGCATGAAGGGAGATGATTATGAAAACTGATTCTTCACCAGAAATAATTTTATAGAATCAACTTGCAAAAATGTAAGCGGTGACAAAGGAAAGAAGAACATATTATTTTCGTCTATTATTCTTAGATCCTTTGCTAGATTGTAAGTTTGATGAAAGCAGTACCTTCTTTATCCCTTATGTATGGCCCAGAATAGATACTCAAAAATATGTGAAGCGAATGGAAATAAAATCTCCATTGATATATAAACTTTTTTTTTTTAATCTTGGGAAATGGCAAGAATTTTAATGGTATTTCAATAAGATATTCACATAGAATAACTAGGACTTAAACTAATGTACTATGTATATATTAAACTGAGTACAAGTCTTCTTACATCTCTTAATATGTGATTGTTATACTTGATCCTTTAGAAGGCACTGAAGAATGACTATACAGTCATATGTGAAATGTCCATAGTAAGTTTTCTGTTAAATACCAGTTTTTATATGTCTATTTCTCAAATATATAGTTTGTGTTTGTAAAATAGATTCTCATGAAAACTTTTTATCTATAATTTTATTATTATGAGGGTTTATGTTATTTGTTTTTTAGTACTGGGAATTGAACCCAGGACCTCATGCATGCTAAAGCATGCACACTACTACTAAGCCACACTCCCAGCCCTATTATGAATAATTTTACCTTTGTAGTTGGTCATTTTCTTTTGTATAATCAATATTAACTATTAAACCTCATTCTAAAAGCAAAAAAAAAAAGTTAAGCAAAAATAAAAATTAAAAACCTGGAGTCTATTTTAAGGCTGTATGGTAAATAAGTGTTCTTCCCCCATTATGGTTAACTACCGTAATTCCTCAAAAATAAGACTGGATCTTATATTAATTTTTTCTTGAAAAGATACAATAGGATTAATTTTCAGGGGATACCTTATTTTTTCATGTACAACAATCTACATTTGAGGCCAGGGATTTAGCTCAGTGGGTTCGCCGCCTGCTGCACAAGCGCAAGGACCCAAGTTCGATCCCTGGTAAGAAAAAAAAAAAAAAAAAAATCTACATTTTTTCATTTATTCATGTAACAAAAATTACAGATGTACAAAAACCTACATTTACTCAAACACAGTCATGTCATCTTCTGGAACAACAGCATAACTCTCCAAACCCCAAATTCCAGCCTGAATTTCTTGCAACTCCATTTCCTGTAGAACCTCTGGACCCAATCTCTCATGTCCAGCAATTGAGCTCTCCTTAGCAAGCACTTCTTGTCCATGCAGCCTGCTCACAGTGCACTGGCAACACAGCTGTCAGTGATTTTATCCCATGAATTCTTCACCCAACTCACAACTTCTTGCAGGCTGGGCTTCACAAAGTGTCCATTAAATCAAGTGTTAGTTGAAGACTTACAAGACAGAAGTGGTAATAAAAATGATGACAGGGCCGGGGATTTAGCTCAGTGGTTCCACCACCTGCCTCACAAGTGCAAGGACCCAAGTTTGATTCCCAGTACCAAAAAAAAAAATGACAGTTAAGAGTAAAAGCCCATCAAGGGTGAAAAATAAGAACCAAGAGAGAATATGTAAAGGTGCAAATTTCCAATGATGAATGTCATTATATTGTATACCTAAAATATACCAATGATTAGAATGAAAAATCGATAATGTAAAATAGGAAGAAAAGGTCCAAAGGGGTAGGGGTAGTGGGAGGGGCAGGGGAAAGGAAAGAAGGGAAAAGAAAAATGCTGAGAAATGGAAAAAATGGAAATAAAGTCTTTGTAAATAGGGAAGGGTGGAGGGCGTGAAGGGAGGGCTAGGAATGGGGAAAAAATAAGAACCAAGATGCATTACGTAAAGGTACAATTCCCAATGAGAAATGTAATTGTGTTGTATACCTACAATGTACCAATAAAAGAATTTGATACAAAAAAAAAAAAAAAAAAGAGTAAAAGCCCATGAGACCTTGTCTCAAAAGAAAAAAGCAAAAACAAAAAAAGGGGAATGGTTGTACATGCCTGTGATCCCAGTATTCTGGAGCCTGAAGCAGGAGGATCACCTCAAGTTTGAGGTCAGACTGGGATAACTACATAGTGAGCTCATGGCAAGCTTGAACTGCATAGTAAGACTCTGTCTAAAAAAATTTTTTAAAGAATGATGGGGGCCAGGGACTTAGCTCAATGGTGCCGCCACCTGCCTCGAAAGTGCAAGGTGCTGAGTTCGATCCTTGGTATCAAAACCAACCAAAAAAAGAATGATGGTCCACACAAAAGCAACAAAAAATTGCAGGCACTGAAATGCAGAAAACAACCAAGGACAGTGGCGAATGCCTGTAATTCCCCCAGCATTTAGGTGGCTGAAGCAGAAGGCTCATGAGTTCAAAGGCAGCCTGAGCTATGGAGTGAGACCCTATGAAAATTCAGAAAACATTTCTTTATTTCCCATAAATGCTTTAAGTACATCTGTTGCAACACATGATGTATTGAATTATGAAGATTCATATTAGATACAACCATATCCATTCGTTATCAAGTGTGCATTTTTGCTCATGTATTGTGTCTGTGTTCCAATTACTCATTTGGCAATAAGTTTCAAGTTCATTTAATTACATTTTATAATTCAATTATGTCCATCATATGTTGCAATGGATGCACTGAATGCATCCATCTGGCTGACAATCTAAATGGGTTTATTTTTGGTGTAGGGGTTATATTAACAAGCATTCTGAAAAAAATCATGCTAGACTTAGTTTTCCAGTTAGGTCTTATTTTTGGGGAAATGTGGTAGAGGCAGCAGTGCATGACAAAAGATTGGAAGATGTATAAGGAGAAACTTAGGTACACAAAAACGGGTGGCAAAGAAAGCCAGCGAAGGAGAAACACACTAGTTCAAATCCAGTATATCAGGTTTAAAAAGGGAAGCGCTGCTTCCCTGGATGGCAGTACCCATCATACCCTGTGTGCAGTAAAGCCCCATTCTGAGAGAGGATCTAACACCCTGAGGGAGGGAGACAGTACCACAGTGGTATCCAGGCCACTGGGATAGGCTCCTAACTTTTCTAACCACCCACGCCACCCATGCCCCGTAAAAGCCAGTGAATGAGATAGCCACAGATCAGAGACTAGAGAAACAGGAAACCAGGGAGCATTGCCCAAGATAAAACTGCAGACCCATTTAAAAGCTGAAAACAAGGGGACAATCCTGATTAGAAACCCAGATTTTAGTGCTGAGAAAACCATGGCTCAGGGTATTGCAGGAGTGGGCAGCACCTACAAATAGCAAGAGCCTGAGAAAAGCAATTGATGTGGCCCCAAAATAGCCAACCACTGCTTGTTCCCCCAAAACACTGGGAGTGGCATGCCTGGAGAATATCCTGCCCACTGTCTACCACTCACTCTGCAGCACCCAAAAAGTCTGCAGGCTGGGCAGTGACAATTTGTGGAGAGCAGTGAACAAGACTGGGAGAAACACTATAAAAACAGAACACAGGCTGGGGATTTAGCTCATTGGTTCGGGTGCCTGCCTTGCAAGCACAAGGTCCCGAGTTCATTCCCCAATACCTAAAACAAAAAAAAAAAAAACAGAACACAGGAGGAGCTGCAGAATTTATAGAGCAGGGAGGGGCGAGCAGGCTGCCCTAGCCACACTACACCTTCCTACCTCGACTTAACTGAAGATACCCAAACATAAGACAAAAGCAAAAACCTCTGACTAGCCAAGCCCACAGAAATGAATTGAGGTTAAACAGAAGGCAGTAAAATAGAAGGCAGTCTACACCAGAGGCAGGCTCAGTATTCCCCCAAATCCCTTCACTCACAGGCGGCCAGGCACCTGAACAAATGATAGGAAGTGGCCAACTCAGGGACTTGCAGGAGGCTGAGAAGCACCTTATGGACACAATGACACTATGGAAAAGCAGAGGTACAGGAAAGAGTTAGATCCAAAACTCCATGCAGATCCCCCCATTTACAAGTTGAACCTTCTCCATTTGTAAACTAGTGGAAAGAGCTCACTGGATGATTTCAGACTGCGGTATAAATAAAAGAGGGAGGATGATTAAGTTTTGGGTACTTATAACTAACTGTGAGTTTTTTTGGTCAGAGGGTCTACAGTAAGTTTTAATGAACATGACTGACACAGTTGATTTTGGTGATAAAACCGGTACAGATTCTCTCTTTGTGACACAGCAACTGGGTCTGATTCAATTAAGCTGAGCAGGTAAAGTAGTATACAAATATCAAACACAACCAAAGCCAAGATCCTATCACTGGGAAGCTGACACTAACTAAAAAGACCTCCATACTAGGAACAATAGTCTTTCCAATCTAATTGATCAACTCTCAGCGCACGTACACATACATATACACACACACACACACACACACACGCTCGGAAGGGAGGGAGGGAGGGAGGGAAGGAAGGAAGGGAGATGAGAAAACAAGGTAACAAGAGATTAAAAAATTGTTAACTCCCCCAGAGTTGATCTGATGGGAA